CGACGTTCTCAAAAAAAAAAAAAAAAAAAACAACAACTGTTGAACGGTTGAACTAGTCTCAACTCAGTAAGCGCCGTAGGCCCCTAGGTAGTCTGTTACATGCTGCGCCTGCAACAGGCTGCACAGACCATTTTCAGGCCCGTGCCGTTTTCAGCCCGAAAGCCTGAAAACAAGGGCCTACAGGCCCTGTGTCATTTCAGCCTGAAAGCCTGAAAACAAGGGCCTACAGGCCCTGTGTCGTTTCAGCCTAAAACAGGGCCTTTCCGTCCCTGAGTCTTTTCAGCCTGAAACGGAGGGCCATTTTCAGGTCCTCATGAGTTCGACCTGCCCTGAAACTCAGGCACCAGACCAGGGTTTTAGCACAGGCCATTTTGGGCCTGTTTTCAAGACAACCCTTGGCTGAGCTTCAACGCCAGGGTCTGGCACGTTTTGGCATTGGCAAGAGCAGCCTCCTGGACGGGCCAGCACTATATAGGACTGGCCCTCCCTGCGGGCTGCAGGTAGTTCCTAGGTACTTCCCAGGCACTTCACGTGCAGTTCAGGAGGCAGGAGGTAGTCTTCAGGATTCGGCAGCAGCAATCTGGGGGAGCGCTACAGGAGTAGTAGTCGCACTAGAAGTAGTCTTCAACGCTGGGCGCTAGTAGCGTTAGCAGCAGTCTTCAGCGCTGGGCGCTAGTAGGAGCTAGAGTAGGACTGGAGAGAGAGAGAGAGATTGGGCGGAGGCCAGGGAGACTTACCTGCAGCGCCATAGCTCCAGCTTCGTCTTCGAGGTACCTGCAGCACAGCGCCATCTTCACCGGTTAGTACCTTGCACGTGAAAGAGAGAGAGAGAGAGAGTTCTTCTTCTTCCTCTTCTCAGTCCACCATCTCCCTCTCACCCTCTCGCTACCTGACTTCACTACATCAGCAGACTACGAGAGAGAGAGAGAGCTTGCTGACATTTGGATCCAGACTCGGCATGGGCTTCAGACATTTTGACGAGGGATTATTTGGGACTAAACTTGCAAGCGCACGTCGTGCGGCCAGTTCCCTACGTGCGGCGCACGACGTGTGTGGGGAACGACTCGTCACCCCCCTCAGAAAAAAAAAAAAGGCCTGGGTCGAAACGGTGCGTTTGAGCCCCCCCGCCAAAATTACAAGTGAGATGAAAAAAAAATTACAGGAGTACTGGCTCACCTTGCTCCTCCTCCCCTTCCTCATCCTCCATGTCTCCTCCTCCCTTCTCCTCCTGCCCTTCCTCTTTTCCCTCCGTCCATCTCTTCTCCTCCCCACCTCCTCGTCGTCCTCGCTATCCTTGTCGTCCTCCTCGTCCACATCCTCCTCCTCCTCTCTATATCCCCCTCTCCTCGCCATATCCCCATCTTCCTGTCATACGCCCCCGCGTTCCCCCTCCCAAAAAAAGATAAAATAATAATAATAAAAATAAAAAACCTGCACGATTCCGCACAGGCACCCCCCGCACGGAACTCCGCACGAATGTGCGGCTTGTGCGGTTGCAAGTATGTTTGGGACTTGTAACAAGACTTGGTGTTGACGACTTTCCCATCTCCCCCCTCCTCTTCTTCGTCTGTTTCCCTCTTCGTCTGTACATGATCTGCCTGGCGCATTCTTCCTGTGTGTAGCGCCAGGCCCCTTGACACTTTGTGATAAGGAGGATGTATGTTTGGTCTGCATTGTGACATTAATTGGGCTAGTCATTGGTATTCTAGCATTCTGCTCCTCTGTCTTGTACTATGCGAGAGAGGTCAGTCCCGGCCGGGTCAGGACTTGTATCTAAGTCTTCCCCTGCGCTATAAAGCACCATTGTTGTATGTATCAGAATGTACACTGATTGTTGAGATTCTACTTGCACTGCATTGTCCATTCCGTCCTTTTTATCACATTGCGGATCCTCGGTTATATATGTACATTGCCCAACTGGGCATGTAACATAGTCCAACGGTTCTTCTGGGGGGTGGTCCCACTAGCAAAGACGATCGGATCGAATGACTGAATGTGGACGTGTTTGTAGAGAGGTGCAGGAAATCGAGATTGAACTGCTTTTCTGCATCTCTGCATAAAACACATCCAGATTCAGGCATTCGATCCGATCCTCTTTGCTAGTGGGACCTCGGCCCTGCACTTTTTTTTTTTTTTTGGATAGATCTGAGGGCACTTCCTTTTTCTCTTGCCCTGCCCTAACACACAAGAGAAACAGAGTTTTCCTTTTCGGCTTCCTTGTTATTCATTGACACTGACTTTTGCTTTCTTTTTTTTTTTTTGTTTTATCATCACACAAATGTCAGCCCATAGCATTGGCTGTGTCCTGCTGTTTGCCTGTCGTCAGATGGGTCGCTCTGTTTGGATGGCCCAACTCATCCGAGGCTCATGAGATCAGGCCTCGGAACTCACCTTCTTACAGTTGATGCATCTACTCAAAGAAAAAAGGGGAAAAAAAAAAGAAAAGAAATGGCTGACAGTGAAAAAGAAAAGCAACCGGATACAGAAAAAAAAAAAGAAAGCA